ACCCAGATTCATGCAGAAATTTAAAAAAAATAATAACGTGAAAACTAAATAAACAATGCCATATGAATAAATAAGATATAAATATTAATATGTGAAACTAATGAATACATAACCATTTTCTGGGTCAGGTTATGAAGAGTCCAGCTTCTGGTGTCAGTCAACTCATGTAAACTTGTTTATTTTTGTCTTTATAATTAAATATGACAAGTTTTGTCGTGTTTGACAAAATGTGTTGCAGATATGTTTATAAATACTCGTACATGTTACTGAGGAAATGGTTAGGTTAGGTTACCTGACCTAACAGGCCACGTTCTAACCTAACCTGACCTAACTAAAAAAAAAAGAAAGTGATTTGCCCCAAATATAAATGTCAGAATCATCTAAAACAGCAAGAAATCTAGCGAAAAAATATATTGTTCATGTAAAAAAAAGGTGATGGATGGTTAACCCAAAATAACCAAAGAGCGCATGGCAGGAAATCACCATGAGAGTAAAGGCTGCGTTTCTTGGCGTGGTGAGGTCTGTGGCAGAGTGTGAGACACGCTGATTCTCAGTATTGTCCAAGTCAAGAAAGAAGATCTCTGCTATAAAGAGGGCAAACACACACTATATTCACACTATATTCATTAAATATATCTCTCCTTTCCCGATAAATGCGTTGCCGCCGCTGATGTTGTTGGTTCGCCATGCTATCATCCCTGGGGCTCCTCAGTGGACACGCTCTACTACTCTATATACCGAACTTGGTCTTTCCCCCTTACAGGATCGTCTCCAGGAGTTTTACCTAAAAACTACCGTTTCCATTCTACGGAATCCTTGGGGCAACTATGTCCAAGCCAACTTGACTCCTGCTGTCCGAGGCCGACCTCCATCTAGAAGACAGTGGCGAGGGTCACTCACCCGAGCCCTTCAGGAACACGACCTCCTGCCTGATATTGTTGTCACCCCTGCTGTTGGTTCGTCTCCTTCTCCCTGGCTGGATTTTCAACCTGAAGTGATTGCCCTCGGTGGACCGCTCCCGAAATCCCATGTGAACCCTGTTATTTCTGCAAATACCACCTCTCCAGGATCGCCCGCTGGTCCCCAGGTAGGGTCGTCCTCTACACTGATGGCTCTGTTGAGCCCGCTACAGGTCGGGCCGGGGCTGGTGTCTACATCTCCCGTCCTGATGCCCCTGAGCCTATCAAACTTTCTCTCAGAGTTTCTGACGGGGCATCCTCCACTCAGGCTGAACTAATAGCCCTCCTTGCTGCCCTTCTCGCTGAGGAAGAAGCAGATGGTTTCTGCCCCTTGCTTATCTGCTGCGATTCCAGGTCTGCTCTCGACGGGATCGCATTTGGATCAGGGGAAAATAAGGACCTCATCCTCCGAATACGAGGGTTAACATCTACACTTCAGGATGCAGGCTGTCCTGTGACATTTCTATGGGGAATGAGGCAGCAGATGGCCTTGCCAAACTGGCTGCAACAAGGCCACACCTGACTACTCCCCGCCCACCTGGTACGATGTCCTCCGTAAACTTCCTGACCTCTCGTATGTCTATGGGAAAGGGTCGCGGAAAAGGGACGTGATTGCTGCCCGTATCATCATTGGGTATGACTTTGCTTGGGAGGTTGGTATCCCCACATCCCCTGAGCAACGCTCTTGTGCATTATGCAGAAGACCCGACAGCCGCACCCTTATCCACTACCTCCTAAGATGTCCCCACACACGACGCTTCTGTGACGCCTGCTGGACCACCACTCCACGACCCCCTGACGGAGACACGATGATCCTCCCCATGCTGGCCAGATACTATGTAAATAATATTGATAATGTGTTAAAGGAATATCCTTCCTTCCTTAGGCATTAGTAAGCCCCTTTATAATATTTATACTGTATATACTTGTGACACTTGCCAGATGCTTCTGGTGTTATTGTACAGGGGTACCTAGTGACAGCACTAGGATCCCGCTTCCTCTATCAAGGAATAAACTGTTGAAATTGAAAAATTGACGACTATTACGGGAATTAAAAGTGCTCCCGAGGTCTTTTAACTTAACAGTACTATTAAGGACCTTGAATGTTTGGTGAATGTACTATTAATGCTAAACAGGAAAATGTCAGCCTTAACAACTGTTTGCTTGCACTTAAAAGTTTTGTGTATACTGGCCTTGGATGTTAATCGATTTGCGGATCGTGTTCCGGGGTAATGGTTAGCCAGTGCAGTTGGCGAGCTGTCCGGTCTGCTCTGGCTTAGGGTGTGGTTGTTGTGTTGGCTACAGCATCTACACCTTCAACAAATTCATGCCTTTGTGACCCTTGGGCCGTCATCCTCGTTACACGAGGGACAACCATTATTATGTACTGTATGTGTGGTACGAACTTTTTCCAGGGGCAAGGTTGGCGGGCAGTGACCTCTGTGTTTACAAGTATTGATTGGCAGTTGCATAATTAGTCTTTATTACCGTGTACGAACGCCACACAACGACGGTGTCGGTGCTGCCCCCCCCCCCTCCAAAATCATATTTAAGGAGAAATTGTCTGCTTGTGAGTGTGTCGTTGTGGTGGTGGTGGTGGTTTGGCTGTGGTTATTTCGATGCGTTGTTGGTGTAGTAGCACAAGGTCGTTATTTTGGTTATTACAGTATGTTAGTGTGGTAGTCAGGATAGGTTACTGTGGTGGTAGTAATATGGAGGACCATTTAACCACCAACCAGCTTAGCTTATTTCACGTGATAATTAAACACCTTAAAGCAAACCTAATCTTATATAATTTAACTTAATATAATATTGTATTACCTAACCTAATCTAACCTAACATAACATAACCCATCATAATCTAACCTAACCTAACTTAACCTAATCTAACCTAACCAAACTTAACCTAATCTAACCTAACCTACCTTAACTTAATCTAACCTAACATAACCTAAAGTAACTTAACCTAACCTAACCCTAACCCCTCTAGGTATTAGGGTGCTTAATAAGGTGAAATAAGCAATGATTGATTTATCTTCAGGTGATCTAATTTAGGTGTTTTTGTTGTGATAGCGCTGTGGCCGGGTGAGGTGTGGTTGTCGATAGGTATAGCGTGTGTCGGAGTACTGACGGTGCCATGTAATGTAATGTAATTCTGGTAAGTAAGGCTTGTTGTTGTAATAGTTATGATGGGGTTCTCGGTACAGTAATTATGGCACACTGTTACTATAGTTATTAGATGTGTTATTATCGGGGGTAGTGAAGACGTGTGTTAGTGTTGTAGTTTGCTTGTGTTTTGTTCATTGATTTATACCTGTAAACACTTGTGATGATGTGTGGTCATCGTGGGTTTACCTGAAGATTAGACACCCCCAATTTATTTCAACTGATGATTCAACCATCTTGACAATACCTGGGGAATTTAGGTTAGGTTAGGTTAGTCTTGCCCGGTTAGTTTTTGTCCTCATGTTAGCTGGTATATTGGAAGCAGATTATTGGTTTAAAAATAGATATCCTGGTTTTAGCAACAATGACCTTCAACACGTTGCTCAGTGCCACTAACAGGCATAAGGACCATCCTCTCGCTAGGGTGAAGATGTAATATTATATTTACTGGTATTTAGAAACTCAGCACCTTACAACTACACGCTCTGCTGGGCACCAACCCGGGCCCGACTCTCAGGTAATTTCCATTAGACTCAGGTGTGCAAAATAAACATCTATAAAAGCAAATAAGAACAAACTAGACCTAATTTAACCTCACCTAACTTAACTTCACCAAATAAGCATCATAAGGTTCTATGAAATGGCTTCAGGTCCTACCAGGTCCTGCTAAACGTCTTCAGGTCCTTTACAGGTATCACCAAATTGCCATGTCGTATGTCAACAACACTACGCTGTTTCACATATCCAAGACAATCACACAGGTGCTTGTCTGGGTGCAAGGTCAGTCAGTCATTCGGAACATACACGGTCCATGTCTAGACAGGTCCAGACAGACGGGGTCCAAATCGGGGTCAGTGTCCTGTGTATTTGGTGTCGTGGCGTGCATACGTGGTGTACCCTACTTGTGTATGTGTGTGTGTGAGCATTCGCCACAGGCAGACCTCACCTCGTTCTGGTCGTTAATTGTTGTCGGATCACCTGTTTAGCCACCGTAGTTTATTTTGCCTGATGATTAAACACCCTAACACTACCTGGGAGTGTTGTTAGGTTAGGTTAGGTTAGGTTAGTGTCAGGGTGTTTAATCATCATGTGAAATAAGCTAGTGTGTCTAATTTTCGTGTGATCCCTTTTTTTCAGCATTCGAAAATGTAAACCTCGAAGCGTTGTCATTTCAAAGCATGACAAAACTCATGGGTGTCGTCACCTAACACAGTACACAGCTCAGCGTTATCACGACACAACCACCAGTGTTGCCAGGTTCAAGCAGTAAATCAGTTACTAACACACGAACTCACAAGATCCATATTTCGCACATCTCTAAAAAAAACTATACAATAAACTTTTCTATATTTCGAAAACCGTCTCAAAGGTTAACCCGTTGAAGATGTAGTGTAGCTCAGAGATATTTTATTCAGCTGAGACAAACCCCTGGCCCCTAAAGGATTAATGTATGCTTTTGTATATAGATTTTAGACCCGTTAAAATATGACGTTCTCTTCATCAGAAAATGATGGGCTAATACATGAACGTTTAATTCTCCTCTTTTTGTTTTGTCTGCAGTAACGTTCGTTTGTGTTATGATCACTAAGCCGATAAGTTATTATGTTTAAATGTTACTCAATTGCCTAATTATAGCTGTTACGAACTTTATGACGCAGGTACGTACATGAAGGTGAGTCCCACAGCGTGAATAAAATGATAGTCAATAGTATCTAGGAAGTTAAGGCAGCTGTCTGCACACTACTGTATTGTCATACAACACTGGGGAAGGTGAAACGGATTATTTCTCTCTATCTCATTATCAAAGTCTGACTGCTTGTCTTTCTTTATTCTCTCTCTCTCAGCACAAGTGAAGGACTTCGCCAGACACAATACCTTCCTCTCCGGACGACGGCCACCTTCTTCTTATCCACTTGCTCCACCGAGTCGAACAGTCTTGAGAGGAGGTCAGTGTTGCCCACCTTGATCATCCTCTCCGCCTTGAACTCCTCCCATTCTCCTATCTTCATCTCCTTGTGTTCTCTCCCCTCCCCCGCTGGCGGCGTCACAGGTCGTACATCTGACAGGGAGGAAAGAGAAAATAGATTAAAAAATTGATCGTGAGTCTGGTAAGGTACGACGAGAAGAAAAACAAATGAACAAATATTAACTCTTGCTGCTGCTTGCATATGACCAATCAGAGTAAGGAATGTATGAAAAAAATTATCGTACGTCTGGGTGGGAATTAAGAAGGAAAGTTATTAATTAAGGTAAATCGATAGAAAGTGTACAATTTACGCTATATCGATAAATTAGACAAGTGAGAAAATACAAGAGTTTATTGAACAATATTCTGATCATCTTTACAAATTACATTCAGCACAGAAAACGTAAAGTAGTCCAAAGAAAATTGGTTGCACAATATTATGTCAGGAAGAAATTTAGAAGATAATGGTAGAGTGAGAGTGACGCAAGTATAGTGTCGTACAAGATAATATGCTGAAATATAGTGAGCATGATGGATTGTAGGTAAAGTAATAATTCTGAACCATAACTTGGGTAGTAATTGCAGTGTATACTGCCCACACAGGCTCCTAGTACATCCATCTCTCTCTCTTCCAACCGCCAGAAATATCCACATCCAATAAGGCAAAACGTTCAACGAGTTGCTCGGGAAGGTAATGAATAACGTTACCAGCACAGATCGACACCAGACAGTCGCTGTTAAGACCCACGCCAACTGCTGCAAGGTCACTGACCGTCTGGGAATGTGCTGCTGATAGTGACCGGACATAATCCAATCGGACATAATCCAAAAGCTGGACATTATCCAACCAGACAAGATCCCACTGGGCAATTTCCCTAACGGACACGAACCAACCAGGACATAATCCAGCCGGACATTAACACTAAAACACGAGAAAAGATTGGATCAATACAGTCAGATACCGGCGAGCTAACTGATAATGACGGAGAAATGAGCAATAATCTGAATAAATATTTTTCAACAGTTTTCACCACCAAAAATTTAAACATGATACCCGAGGCACCGACTCTATACAGAGATAATGAAGAAAATAAATTAAGCGAGATAGTAGTGACTAGTAACGATGTTAGTAAGCAAATAGACAAACGAAAGCCTAATAAGTCACCTGGTCCCGAGGAGATATTTGCCAGAGTATTAAAGGAATGTAAGGAAGAGCTTAGTATACCCTTAGCAAAGTTGTTTAACATGCCCTTAAAAACAGGTGTAGTACCAGAATCCTGGAGGATAGCGAATGTAATACCGATTTTCAAGAAGGGAGATAGATCACTATCCTCTAACTACCGTCCAATCAGTCTAACATCAATTGTAGGCAAATTACTGGAAGCAATCATTTCAAACTCTATTCGAAATCACCTAGAGAAGCACAAGTTGATCAATGATTCCCAACATGGTTTCACAAGCGGGCGTTCATGTCTAACTAATCTATTAACATTCTTTTCATCAGTTTTCGAATCAGTGGACGAGGGGCACAATTATGATGTGGTATATATCGACTTGAACAAAGCCTTCGACAGAGTCTCCACGAAAGACTAATAAGAAAAGTGGAGGCTCATGGCATTAAAGCAGATGTTCTAAAATAGATTAGGGCGTGGTTACAGGACAGGAAACAGCGGAGTTCCCCAAGGCTCAGTACTTGGACCATTATTATTTATTATACACATAAACGACATAGATATCGGCGTAGACAGCGACATAAGTAAATTTTCTGATGACACTAAAATAGGGCGTGTAATTAAATCTGATGAGGACTCGGCAAAACTATAGGAAGCTCTAATCAAATTTTTCACATGGTCTGAAAAATGGCAGATGAAATTTAATGTGAACAAATGTAAAGTACTTAGCCTAGGAGATGTAAACAGAGAAACCAGATGTTAGATGAACACCGTTGATATAGAAAAATCCGACTGTGAAAAAGATTTGGGCTGATGATAAGTAGGAATCTTAAACTAAGACCACAATGCGTATTTGTTCGAAACGAGGCTTACAAAGTACTTGGGTTCATACAAAGGAGTGTTAGTTACAAGACTAGCGAGGTCATCCTAAAACTATATCTTGCACTTGTGAGACCTCACTTGGATTATGCAGGTCAGTTTTGATCACCATACTACAGTACATAATGGATATTGAATCCGTACAAAGCATACAGATGAGGATGACAAGACTAATCCCGGGCATTAGGAACCTTGAGTACAGAGACAGGTTAAAGCATCTTAATTTGCAGTCGCTCGAGAGACGTAGAGTGAGGGGCAATATGATCAAGGTGTATAAATGGAAGTTAGAGATAAACAAAGGTAATACAACAATGGTACTTCAATTAGCCAACCAGGAACGAACTCGTAGCAATGGTGTGTGTGTGTGTGTGTGTGTGTGTATTAGTGATGTCATGAAGTTTCGCTTCCGCAACCGTGGAGCAACTGCATAAATTATCACAACCACCACAATTGAAATAACCTCATGAACCTACGCGGTTGTTGCGGTTGTGAAACAATCACAAACGAGGGTTGAGCTAAGAAATTCATTGGGCAGAGGGGCCCTCCAACCACTGTGTTGCCTTTATGTACAATATGCTACAATAATAGATAGAGTGAACAACGTTTTTAGATCTTTACAGTGATAAATCTTGAGTAACTTGCTTAATTACAGGTGACCACTTGTGACCTTTTTCACACATGGTGATATAAAAAATTAGTAGTATTGGACAATCTGATGAACAAAAACATCTTGTTTTCTCCCCATTAAAAACCCATAATTTTGAGCAAAACACGACTGTACTTTACTGTAAAAAATTGTACTCAAATTACGATTTTTTTATGTCTAGTGCAAACTATGGGATGATTTTTTTTATGTCTAGTGCAAACTATGGGATGATTATACTCACATTAATCGCTATCCTGCAAGAATTCCAGCAATGCAAGTTATATATATATATATATATATATATATATATATATATATATATATATATATATATATATATATATATATCTTTTTATTTATTTATTGGGCACTCCCCTACATCCTTGTGTAAGGTGAAGCGCAGAAGCGTTCACAGCGCCCAACAGGGAAGCATGCTAAGTTCATGCTTGCCTTTATGTCTCATGAGTTAAGGGCGTAGAAGCCTGAAGAGTCAAGGGCGTAGAGGCCTGAAGAGTCAGTGGTTTATGTCATCAAGTTATTGGAAGCTCCAACAACTCCCTGAATACGAATTCGCAACTTTCGACTTACAACAGGTACCTACTTTACTGCTAGGTGAACAAGGACTAATGGGGGCTAGGAAGTAAGTCCAAACAACTTCCTCCGGCTCGGGAATCGAACCCGTGACATCTAGCTTGCAAGGCAAGAACGGTACCGCTTCTACCACCGATCCCCCCTGCAAGTTATATTGTGCTAAGTCAAGTCTTGTATAATCCTGAGTCCCTGACCTGCACCATTCTTCCCCATCCACTGACAACTAATCTCCTCTCCCTGGCTGTGTACACCCCAACTACCCCCCCCCCTTCTTCCTAGCCATTAAGGGGAGGCGAGATGGCGGTGATAAGGATTTTACAGGATGAATAGTTTTAGGCTTAAAGTTTTTCTATTATAAAACGTCACAGACTTAACTTAGCAGAATATAACTTGCATTGCTGGAATCTTTGAAAGATAGCAATTAATTTGAATAGAAACATCTCATAGTTTGCACCAGAGATAAATATTTTAGTCTTTTAGCATAGTACATTTGAGTACACTAAAGAAGAGTTTTCCTTTTTACAGGGAATAGCCCACCTGGGCAAAAGTCATCGATCCACAACGGGGCCTAGGGAACGAACAAGTTAAGAGTAAAATTAATTATAAATAGAAGAGAAAATGACTATATTAATCTACACCACGAAGATACCGGAAAACCAGCTTTTTGAAGTGAGACAGTTGTATGAGTATGGAAATACAAAAGAAGTCAGAGCATTCCACCGTTTGGCTGTGTGAGGAAAGAAGGAGGTACTATAACGGGTTATTCTAGTTTGACCGACATCCACAGAGAAACGGTGGGCACCGTTAGGCAAGACGAGTGTTACGAGCCCACGGTCTTGCCGGCGGTACACAGGATGCCAAATCCACCGAGCATTGCCCGTTAAAGTACCCGTAAAAGAGAAAGAATGAAGCAACATTGCAAGAAAGAGAACGGGAAGAGAGATTATCAAAGAGTTGGGTAGAAGAAGAGTCACCCCAGATATGAGAGCAGTATTCCAAGTTAGGACGAATGAATCCCTTATAAACTTGAAGCAACTGCTCAGGAGCGAAGTAGCTACAGCATCTGTACAGCATTCCCAGCTTTTGCGAGGCAGCTTTAGCAATGTTGTGGAAGTGTGGCTTCCATGACATATTGCAGGAAATGGTGAGGCCTGGCATATCTATTTTAGAATTTGGCAGAATCACTGCATCCTGAAATGTGATTGGTGGGAGATCTTCTACTTTGAAAAGTGTAATTGGTAAAGGTTGTGTTTTATTACTATTAAATTTAAATACGTTTCTACCTCCCTATTCGGAGATGCTGCACCGATCCACATTGATAGATGAAATGATATCAGTTGTAGAAACAAATCTAGTTTAAAAATTAGGGGAAAGGGAAAAAGTGAAGAAGAGTGAAGATTAGAATTAGTCGTAGTTTGAAGTAAATCATTGATAAACAGAAGGAGCAGAGTAGGTGAAAGAACAGAACCCTGTGGGACTCCACTATTGGTAGAGAAAGAGCGAGAGATCGATCCCTCTACAACAACTACCATGGATCGGATCTCAAATAAGCTAGAAATTAGGGAACAAAGTGGGGGAAAGAAACCAAAAGAGGGAAGTCTAGAAAGCAAAGACTTGTGCCATGCCTTGTCACTGCTTTGGAGATGTCGAGCAATATGTTGCTCAAAATTATGGCTTATTTACAGGGGAAAATGATAGAAAGATAAGTTCAAAAGTTCACACAGGTTACAGCATTAATCGAAGTTTAAAGTTAAACCAAATAACCACAACTGCGCAGTTGTGACTTTTTGAAAACCGCAACCGCA